GGGTCTCTGTGTGCGAGTCTACGAGCCTCTCTGTGCAAGTCTACGGGTCTCTGTGTGAGTCTACGGGTCTCTGTGTGCGAGTCTACGAGTCTCTCTGTGCGAGTCTACGGGTCTCTGTGTGCGAGTCTACGAGTCTCTCTGTGTGAGTCTACGGGTCTCTGTGTGCGAGTCTACGAGTCTCTCTGTGCGAGTCTACAGGTCTCTGTGTATGAGTCTACGAGGCTCTCTGTGTGAGTCTACGGTCTCTCTGTGTGAGTCTATGAGTCTCTGTGTGAGTCTACGGGTCTCTCTTTATGAGTCTACGGGTCACTCTGTGTGAGTCTACGGGCCTCTCTGTGCGAGTCTACGAGGCTCTCTGTGTGAGTCTACGGGTCTCTATGTGCGAGTCTACGAGCCTCTCTGTGTGAGTCTACGGGTCTCTGTGTGTGAGTCTACGGGTCTCTCTGTGTGAGTCTACGGGTCTCTGTGTGTGAGTCTACGGGTCTCTCTGTGTGAGTCTACGGGCCTCTCTGTGCGAGTCTACGAGTCAGTGTGAGTCTACAGGTCTCTGTGTATGAGTCTACGAGGCTCTCTGTGCGAGTCTACGGGTCTCTCTGTGTGAGTCTACGGGTCTCTCTGTGTGAGTCTACGGGTCTCTATGTGCGAGTCTACGGGTCTCTCTGTGTGAGTCTATGAGACTCTCTGTGCGAGTCTACGGGTCTCTATGTGTGAGTCTACGGGTCTCTCTGTGTGAGTCTATGAGACTCTCTGTGCGAGTCTACGGGTCTCTCTGTGTATGAGTCTACGGGTCACTCTGTGCGAGTCTACGAGTCTCTCTGTGTGAGTCTACTGTCTCTCTGTGCGAGTCTACGGGTCTCTCTGTGCGAGTCCACGGGCCTCTCTGCGCGAGTCTACGGGTCTCTGTGTGAGTCTACGCGTCTCTGTGTGTGAGTCTACGGGTCTCTGTGTGTGAGTCTACGGGTCTCTATGTGTGAGTCTACGGGTCTCTCTGTGCGAGTCTACGGGTCTCTATGTGCGAGTCTACGGTCTCTCTGTGTGAGTCCACGGGTCTCTCTGTGTGAGTCTACGGGTCTCTCTGTGTGAGTCTACGAGTCTCTCTGTGTGAGTCTACGGGTCTCTTTGTGTGAGTCTACGGGACTCTCTGTGCGAGTCTACGAGTCTCTCTGTGTGAGTCTACGGGTCTCTCTGTGCGAGTCTACGAGTCTCTCTGTGCGAGTCTACGAGTCTCTCTGTGTGAGTCTACGGGACTCTCTGTGCGAGTCTACGAGTCTCTCTGTGTGAGTCTACGGGTCTCTCTGTGTGAGTCTACGGGTCTCTCTGTGCGAGTCTACGAGCCTCTCTGTGCGAGTCTACGGGTCTCTATGTGCGAGTCTACGAGTCTCTCTGTGCGAGTCTACGGGTCTCTCTGTGTGAGTCTACGGGTCTCTCTGTGTGAGTCTACGGGTCTCTCTGCGCGAGTCTACGAGACTCTCTGTGAGTCTACGAGGCTCTCTGAGTGAGTCTACGAGTCTCTCTGTGCGAGTCTACGAGTCTCTCTGTGCGAGTCTACGGGTCTCTCTGTGTGAGTCTATGAGACTCTCTGTGCGAGTCTACGGGTCTCTCTGTGCGAGTCTACGGGTCTCTCTGTGTGAGTCTATGAGACTCTCTGTGCGAGTCTACGGGTCTCTCTGTGTGAGTCTATGAGACTCTCTGTGCGAGTCTACAGGTCTCTTTGTGCGAGTCTACAGGTCTCTCTGTGTGAGTTTACGGGTCTCTGCGTGAGTCTATGAGTCTCTTTGTGTGAGTCTACGGGTCTCTCTGTGTGAGTCTACGAGTCTCTTTGTGAGTCTACGAGTCACTCTGTGTGAGTCTACGGGTCTCTCTGTGTGAGTCTACGGGTCTCTCTGTGCGAGTCTACGAGTCTCTCTGTGTGAGTCCACGGTCCTCTCTGCGCGAGTCCACGGGCCTCTCTGCGCGAGTCTATAAATTATTTATCGACCAGGGCAGTAGAGGGAAAGGCCATGCGGGATTTTTTCTTTTTATTTACCACGGAGCGGATCGTGTGCGCGTTACAACACACTCTCGGGGGTCACGGATGGCTCGCGGGCGGGGTCGCGGCCTCTTTGCCACGACCCCGACCGGTCCTAACTCGTTTCCCGCTCGCTCAGGCAGAGCGCCCGCGATCCACAACCCCGTGGCCGATTTATCGCGAGCGGTAGCGCGAGTGAAAACGGATTTTTTTTTGTGTGTTCCTCCAAGGTTCTGCGGAGCCGCCTATCGTAAATGACGACGACGATGACGACGACGACGACGATGACGACGATGAATGCCTTAACGACAACACTTGCTCTCCCACTCTCTGCCCCTCCCCCCCTTGCTCTATCTCTCTCTCTCTCTCGTCGACCACAAGACAGCAGCAACGTCAATGTTACTTTCCCATCTTGTGTGTTTTTAATTTTTTCCAATGTCTACATCCCACTGTTGAGTTTAAGGCCACCCCCCCCCCACCACCACCCCCTTGGCAGGTGTCTCAGTGGTAGATCCCTGGTTTCATATCCCTCTCACCCCCCCGCCCCCCCCCATCGTCAGCCGTCTAAGTGGTACAACCCTAGTCACATCCATCTCACCCCCTCACTATCTGTCTCAGTGGTACAACCCTAGTCACTATCCCTCTCACCCCCCTCACTATCTGTCTCAGTGGTACAACCCTAGTCACATCCATCTCACCCCCCCTCACTATCTGTGTCAGTGGTACAACCCTAGCCACATATCCCTCACCCCCCTCACTATCTGTGTAAGTGGTACATCCCTAGTCACATCCATCTCACCCCCCTCACTATCTGTCTCAGTGGTACAACCCTAGCCACATATCCCTCTCACCCCCCTCACTATCTGTCTCAGTGGTACAACCCTAGTCACATCCCTCTCACCCCCCTCACTATCTGTCTCAGTGGTACAACCCTAGTCACATCCATCTCACCCCCCTCACTATCTGTCTCAGTGGTACAACCCTAGTCACATCCATCTCACCCCCTCACTATGTGTCAGTGGTACATCCCTAGTCACATCCATCTCACCCCCCTCACTATCTGCCTCAGTGGTACATCCCTAGTCACATCCCTAGTCACATCCATCTCACCCCCCTCACTATCTGTCTCAGTGGTACAACCCTAGTCACATCCATCTCACCCCCCCTCACTATCTGTGTCAGTGGTACATCCCTAGTCACATCCATCTCACCCCCCTCACTATCTGTCTCAGTGGTACAACCCTAGTCACATCCATCTAACCCCCCTCACTATCTGTCTCAGTGGTACAACCCTAGTCACATCCATCTCACCCCCCTCACTATCTGTCTCAGTGGTACAACCCTAGTCACATATCCCTCTCACCCCCCTCACTATCTGTCTCAGTGGTACAACCCTAGTCACATCCATCTCACCCCCCTCACTATCTGTGTCAGTGGTACAACCCTAGCCACATATCCCTCACCCCCCTCACTATCTGTGTAAGTGGTACATCCCTAGTCACATCCATCTCACCCCCCTCACTATGTCTCAGTGGTACAACCCTAGCCACATATCCCTCTCACCCCCCTCACTATCTGTCTCAGTGGTACAACCCTAGTCACATCCCTCTCACCCCCCTCACTATCTGTCTCAGTGGTACAACCCTAGTCACATCCCTCTCACCCCCCTCACTATCTGTCTCAGTGGTACAACCCTAGTCACTATCCCTCTCACCCCCCTCACTATCTGTCTCAGTGGTACAACCCTAGTCACATCCATCTCACCCCCCTCACTATCTGTCTCAGTGGTACAACCCTTGTCACATCCCTCTCACCCCCCTCACTATCTGTCTCAGTGGTACAACCCTAGTCACATCCCTCTCACACCCCTCACTATCTGTCTCAGTGGTACAACCCTAGTCACATCCCTCTCACCCCCCTCACTATCTGTCTCAGTGGTACAACCCTAGTCACTATCCCTCTCACCCCCCTCACTATCTGTCTCAGTGGTACAACCCTAGTCACATCCATCTCACCCCCCTCACTATCTGTCTCAGTGGTACAACCCTTGTCACATCCCTCTCACCCCCCTCACTATCTGTCTCAGTGGTACAACCCTAGTCACATCCATCTCACCCCCCTCACTATCTGTGTCAGTGGTACATCCCTAGCCACATATCCATCTCACCCCCCTCACTATCTGTGTCAGTGGTACAACCCTAGTCACATCCATCTCACCCCCCTCACCATCTGTGTCAGTGGTACACCCCTAGTCACATCCATCTCACCCCCCTCACTATCTGTGTCAGTGGTACAACCCTAGTCACATCCATCTCACCCCCCTCACTATCTGTCTCAGTGGTACAACCCTAGCCACTATCCCTCTCACCCCCCTCACTATCTGTCTCAGTGGTACAACCCTAGTCACTATCCCTCTCACCCCCCTCACTATCTGTCTCAGTGGTACAACCCTAGTCACATCCCTCTCACCCCCCTCACTGTCTCAGTGGTACATCCCTAGTCACATCTCACCCCCATCACTATCTGTCTCAGTGGTACAACCCTAGTCACATATCCATCTCACCCCCCTCACTATCTGTGTCAGTGGTACAACCCTAGTCACATCCATCTCACCCCCCTCACTATCTGTCAGTGGTACAACCCTAGTCACATCCATCTCACCCCCCTCACTATCTGTGTCAGTGGTACAACCCTAGTCACATATCCCTCTCACCCCCCTCACTATCTGTGTCAGTGGTACAACCCTAGTCACATCCATCTCACCCCCCTCACTATCTGTCCCAGTGATACATCCCTAGTCACATCCATCTAACCCCCCTCACTATCTGCCTCAGTGGTACAATCCTAGTCACATATCCATCTCACCCCCCTTCTCAGTGGTACATCCCTAACAAGCCAGTCCCTACCCCCCCCCCCACAGCCTCCTCCCCCAACAGCAATGGTACGGCCCCCCTGTCCAGGGCCGCTCACCACCACCACCACCACCCCCAACCTGTTGTGGTCGGGCCCCACTTGGCTGTAGGTGTAGTCAGCTTGGATGCGCTCCTTCTGGAAGTACTGGTGGAGCCGCGACTTAGCGTTCTCCAGCGTCCAGTTGCCGTGCAGCCCGGCGTTCAGGTCGACCTCCTCCGACTCCAGCGTCTTGACAGGGAAGAGGGCGGAAAAGTTTCGATTTGAAGCTTTCGCGACTGCAAAGGGTTCATCCTCTTCGGTTCTTTCGGTAAAGTCGCCGCCGCGTAGAATGAGGATAAAATAAGCAATCGATAAAATAAAAATAAACGCGATAAAATTCTCACGACGTTTCGGCCACAACACAAAGCGGCCTTCGTCAGGTGAAGGGGACGAGACTGCCTCGAGGACAGCGCTGGAGTCTCGTCCCTTCACCTGATGAAGGCCGCTTTGTGTTGTGGCCGAAACGTCGTGAGAATTTTATTGTGTTATTTTATTTTATCGATTTATTATTTTATTCTCATTCTATGTGGTGACTTTACCGAAAGAACCAAATAAGGCGGAAAAGGTTACGGGGGGGGTCGGGGGTTGAAAATGGTGACACGGTGGCTAGGAGATGTTAACTACCTCGCCTGGTACGCATGAGGTCGTGGGTCCGATCCCGACCATGACGACTGCTGTATATCTGGAGTTTGCGCGTGGCTATGAGATGTTAACTACCTCGCCTGGTACGCATGAGGTCGTGGGTTCGATCCCGACCATGACGACTGCTGTATATCTGGAGTTTGTGCATGGCTGTGAGATGTTATCTACCTCGCCTGGTACGCATGAGGTCGTGGGTTCGATCCCGACCATGGCGACTGCTGTATATCTGGAGTTTGCGCGTGGCTAGGAGATGTTGACTACCTCGCCTTGTACGCATGAGGTCGTGGGTTCGATCCCGACCATGACGACTGCTGTATATCTGGAGTTTGCATGTGGCGAGATGTTAACTCACTCGCCTGGTACGCATGAGGTCGTGGGTTCGATCCCGACCTTGACGCGTGTTCTATTGGAGTTTGTCTCTCTCTCTCTCCCCACCGTGATCGTGTGGATATGTCTCCAGGTCCTTCGGCTTTTTCCCCTCCACATTCAGAATCAACGTGCGTTTCGAGCGTTCGGCCACTGTACATTTCCGCATGGTAAGCCACTTCGTTGATCTGCCATTTGTGATGGCCAGGTCGCTGCTAAACAAGAGCTACATATTTTGATTTAAAGCTTTCGTGACTGCAGCAATTCATATTCTTAGCTCTTTCGGTAAAGTCACGTTGAAACAATAAAATATATATTATTATTTTATTGTTTCCCTTCAACGTGACTTTACCGAAAGAGCTAAGAATAAGAGCTACATAGCTCAGTGGGCCTTAGCTGGTAAAACAATGTTATACAATTAGATATATTTATTTAATAGATATTCATACCGCATGAATTTGACGAGCTCAGTTTAACACGTGGGCTTTCGCGACCAATATTATTCATGATAAAAAACGTTTTCGGGTGAGATCTCGTGAGTATAAACGTGTCACAACCCTCCGCCACCCGACACAACCAATTAGCAGAGGATTTGTCACGGAAAAACAAAACGCCAATTAGTTTACCACTTCAGCCCACCGGTGTGTTGGGAGAGCAAATCCGCAACATTCACAATTGCGAGTACGACGTTTCGCTGGCACTCAAAATTGTAAATGTTGGCCGATTAACTCTCCAACACACACACATTGGTGGGCTAAAGAAGCAACTGATGGCAGCGTTTTAGTTCACGTGACAAATCCCTTTCTAATTGGCTGCCGGGTGGTGGAGGGCCACGACACATTATTTGCACGCGCGCGCGATCTCACCCCAAAAAAACCTTCGTTGTATGACGTCAGTTTTAGTTTCAGACTTCCTAGATGGCGAAATTCGACGGAGTTATCGGATCGCGGCAAGTTCCTCCGCCGTTTCCATGCCGACTCTCTCTCTCTCTCTCCCTCCCGTGGTCGCATCGATTTTCTCCGGGGGCCGCCCCCTCCGGCTTTTCGCCCTCCACGTTTGACAATCGACGCCAACGCGCATCCCTAAGGAGGCATTTGGCTGCTGCGATAAATTTTACCGCACGGCGATGGCGGCGATGTTGGGCCACTTTCGTTGAGCTGCCATCGTTTGCGGCGGCCAGGGGTGGCTATTGAATAAGCAATGTTTGAAAATGCTTTTCGTTTCAAACGCGCTTTAATGAAATGTACCCGTACGAGTGATGGAAGGACTCCCACGACTCCAGGAAGCGGACCCCGAAGTTTGCCCACGACGTAAGGGGACCGTGGTCCAATTACAGCCACCGTGAGTTGAGCGTGGACAATTAGAGCCAAGCCGAAACATAACATGTAAAAAAAACAATGTTTAAAAATATATATTTTTTATTTTTAATGATAGAATATAGTATTACATTTCGATTTAAAGCTTTCGTGACTGCAAGGATTCATCTTCTTTGGTTCTTTCGGTAAAGTCACCACGTAGAATGAGAATGAAATAATAAATTAATAAAATAACACAATAAAATTCTCGCTCCAGCGCTGTCCTACCAGACAGTCTCGTCCCTTCACCTGATGAAGGCCACTTGTGTTGTGGCCGAAACGTCGTGAGAATTTTATTGTGTTATTTTATTTCATTAATTTATTATTTTATTCTCATTCTACGTGGTGACTTTACCGAAAGAACCAAAGAAGATGAATACGGTATTGTCATCAGTGTGACATAAGTATACCAAGTTTGCAATCGATACCACATTTGGAAGTGGGTTACAAGTGAGTTACAAGATTTGAGGATACAACAACAACCACAACAAACAGACAGAACAGCGAGTTAAAAGGAAGCGTGTATGAAGAGCTACACACCAGCCGCGCGGTGGGGCATGTTGTCTTCGGTGTGCGTGCCATTCCCCCCACACACTCACCGCCTCGTTCTCCTCCTTCTCCTTCTTTATGTAGTACTCTTTCAGGTTAATGCCTCTGTCGCACTGGTAGCCACCGTCACCGCCAGCACCACCGCCGCTACCGCCAACGCCACCGCCGCCGTAGCCGCCGCCGCCGCCGCCACCACCACCAAACCCTAACGCACGGGAGAGGACAGATGTGTAGTTATGAGGCTCCAGTTTGAAGCGACATTATTTTTTTTTCATTTTACCATGTATAGGCCCCACCGAACTGCACAACTACTTGGCTATCCGCAAATGATCAGGTGGCTTCAGCGGTACACATCGTCATCACGCGGGGAATTTACAGCGGCCAAATACTCGAAACGCACGTTGATTCTCGACGTGGAGGGAAAAAACCGGAGGACCCGGAGGCAAATCCATACTAGCCATCGACCGATCGATGTATGCAACAACAATAACAACACTTTCCTGGCTCCAGCCCGGCAGAAGACTCGGCCCCACCGGGCGGACGACAAGCAGAGCCACGCCGATCAACATCAATCAAACTCCGCCAACCCGCCCCGCGTAAAGAGATTGCAACTACTGTACTGTAGAGGGCGATGGCGTGGATTCGGGATTGACCGCAGCGACGCGCATGGACTTGTAATACGCATGTCCAAGAATGGCAATATCGGCACCTCCACCGCCACCACCGTCAACGCACCACGACCACCGTCGGTCCCACCGCCACCACCAACGCACCACGACCTCAAATCGGCGCCGCCACCAACGCCACCACCAATGCCACCACAACCACCCCCGACGATCACCGCCAACTCCACTAACCACCAGCGATCAAGGGAACCACCATCGGCACCTCCATCGAGTGGACTTTAACATAGCCATTCCTGTGACCAGTCACAAGCTAATCCCTTAGCTATTTCAATGCTAAATTACTAGTTGCCTCTGTGGATGTGTAGGTTTTGACTTTAACATAGCCATTTCCGTGACCAGTCACAAGCTAATCCCTCAGCTATTTGCACAAGCTAATCCCTAAGCTATTTCAATGCTAAATTACTAGTTGCCTCTGTGGATGTGTAGGTTTTGACTTTAACATAGCCATTCCTGTGACCAGTCACAAGAGAATCCCTCAGCTATTTGATATGTAAACACCTTTGTCAAGGTGCCTCACTTCTCCCAACCAGCTTAAAAGTCGCTACGAATCTTAACAGTGTTCACTGAAGCTCTGTGGATGTGTAGGCCTTTACTTTAACATCCATTTCTGTGACCAGTCACAAGCTAATCCCTTAGCTATTTCAATGCTAAATTACTAGTTGCCTCTGTGGATGTGTAGGTTTTGACTTTAACATAGCCATTCCTGTGACCAGTCACAAGAGAATCCCTCAGCTATTTGATATGTAAACACCTTTGTCAAGGTGCCTCACTTCTCCCAACCAGCTTAAAAGTCGCTACGAATCTTAACAGTGTTCACTGAAGCTCTGTGGATGTGTAGGCCTTTACTTTAACATCCATTTCTGTGACCAGTCACAAGCTAATCCCTTAGCTATTTCAATGCTAAATTACTAGTTGCCTCTGTGGATGTGTAGGTTTTGACTTTAACGTAGCCATTCCTGTGACCAGTCACAAGAGAATCCCTCAGCTATTTGATATGTAAACACCTTTGTCAAGGTGCCTCACTTCTCCCAACCAGCTTAAAAGTCGCTACACGAATCTTAACATCGATCATTGAAGCTCTGTCGTCCCGACAGTTCTGTGCCTTTCACCTGAAGACGGCCGCTTGCGTTGTGGCCGAAACGTCGTGAGAATTTTACCGCGTCATTTTATTACTTTTATTCTCATTCTACGTGGTGACTTTACCGAAAGAACCAAAGAAGATGGATTTACGTATTAACCGGAGCAACGCGCTTGTTCGGCTTCAGCACGCGCGGCTCGCGAATGAACATTTCCACGACGGGCAAAGTGCAGCTGCTTTTAAGCTCATTCATTTGGGGCTCAAGGGGAGAGAAATCCACGAGTCATTAAATTAATTCACGTCAACAATCAATCCCGGGCGCGGAAAGTTGATCCGCAACAGGATTCGGACAGACCGCACGGGGGACAAATGCAGACTCTCACCGCGCGTCCAGTTTTTTTTTGTTTGTTTGTTTTGTTTTGCGGCCGCATACCTTGGGGGGCGAGTCCTCCGCCCTGCCCCCCTCCCAGGGCGAGGTGAGGGGGTAGGGGACCCCCCGTAGGGAGTATCCCCTCTCCCGGCAGCGACGGCGGCCCCTCCGTCAACGGACTGCTCATCGGAAGAGCCAGCGGCGCCTTCAACGCACGCACGGAATGACACGGCGCTCGCATTAGCGGCAGACGGCTCGGCAAGCTTCAACAGCAACAACAACAACGCGGGTTTTGTATCTTCATGGCTGGGTGGTTGGGTGGTGCGGGTGGGCGAGTGAGTGACCGAGGCCAGGTGAGCGATTGAGCGAGCGAACGATTGAGCTTACAAAGCAAGCGATCGGGCAAGACGAGTGAGCCGGCGAGTGGGCGAGCGAGTTGAGTGATCAAGCAGACAAGAGAGTGATGATGGATTTGGTGAGATGGCGAGCACGTTAAGAGATTGAGTGAGCGATGCGGAGACTGGGGAAGCAAGCGATTCGGTGAGCGTTCGAGTGAGCGAACGAGCACTCCAGTTCGTGGGCGAGTGAGTGAGCGATCGTGCGGGCAAGCGAGTGACGTGGCTAGTGAGGAAGCAAGTGATTTGGTGAGCGTGAGTTTGCGCGAGCACTCCAGTTCGTGGGCGAGAGAGTGAGAGAGCCAACTTCTAAGTGAGCGGGAGTGAGTGAGCAAACTGCTCAGCCAAATTCTAAGTGAGCGGGTGAGTGAGTGAGCGAGTGAGCAAGCAAACCACTCAGCCAACTTCTAAGTGAGTGGGTGAGTGAGCGAGTGGGCGAGCAAACCGCACAGCCAACTTCTAAGTGAGCGGGTGAGTGAGTGAGCGAGTGAGCGAGTAAGCGAGTAAACCACTCAGCCAACTTCTAAGTGAGCGGGTGAGTGAGTGAGCGAGTGAGCAAGCAAACCACTCAGCCAACTTCTAAGTGAGCGGGTGAGTGAGCGAGTGGGCGAGCAAACCGCACAGCCAACTTCTAAGTGAGCGGGTGAGCGAGCGAGTGAGCGGGCGGGCAAACCGCACAGCCAACTTCTAAGTGAGCGGGTGAGTGAGTGAGCGGGCGAACTGCTAAGTGAGCGGGTGAGTGAGCGAGTGAGCAAGCAAACCACTCAGCCAACTTCTAAGTGAGTGGGTGAGTGAGCGAGCAAACCGCACAGCCAACTTCTAAGTGAGCGGGTGAGTGAGCGAGTGAGCGAGCAAACTGCTCAGCGAACTGCTAAGTGAGCGGGTGAGCTGAGCGAGTGAGCGAACAAACCACTCAGCCAACTTCTAAGCGAGCGGGTGAGCGAGCGAGCGGGCGAACTGCTCAGCGAGCGGGTGAGTGAGCGTGCCGTCCGTGAAAGGGGAAGGGGGGGGGGGGGTGGGCAGGGGGTGGCAGAGCGCGGTGCGGGTCTCACCGAGAGGGCCGGCACCTCTTCAGGCTTCATCTCGCCGATGCGGACGAGGTAGTTGACGAAGTCGCGCGCCGCGTTGCTCTGTGCATCTTTCTTCGCTGTCGAGTTGCCCATGCCGGTGTAGGTGTAGCCTTCGACGCGAACCTGCGGCGAGGAGGTGTGATGCACGCGCGGCGAGGAGGTGTGACGAGGGGTGGCGCACGCGCGGTGAGGAGGAGGTGTGACACGCGGCGAGGAGGTGTGACGCACGCGCGGCGAGGAGGAGGTGTGATGCACGGCGAGGTGTGACGCACGCGCGGCGAGGAGGTGTGACGAGGTGTGACACACGCGCGGTGAGGAGGTGTTACACGCGGCGAGGTGTGACGCACGCGCGGTGAGGAGCAGGTGTGACGCGCGGCGAGGTGGTGTGACGCACGCGCGGCGAGGAGGAGGTGTGATGCACGGCGAGGTGTGACGCACGCGCGGCGAGGAGGTGTGACGAGGTGTGACACACGCGCGGTGAGGAGGAGGTGTGACACGCGGCGAGGTGTGACGCACGCGCGGTGAGGAGCAGGTGTGACGCGCGGTGAGGTGGTGTGATGCGTGGTGAGGTGTAATCCACAGGGAGGTGCTACACGCGGGGAGAGAGACATGCGGGGAGAGAGACAAGCGGGGAGAGAGACACGCGGGGAGAGACACGCGGGGAGAGAGAGACACGCGGGGAGAGAGACAAGTGGGGAGAGAGACACGCGGGGAGAGAGACACGCGGGGAGAGAGACACTCGGGGAGAGAGACACGCGGGGAGAGAGAGACACGCGGGGAGAGAGACAAGTGGGGAGAGAGACACGCGGGGAGAGAGACACGCGGGGAGAGAGACACTCGGGGAGAGAGACACGCGGGGAGAGAGACACGCGGGAAGAGAGAGACACGTGGGGAGGTGACACACGAGCGAGAGAGACACGCGGGGAGAGAGACACGTGGGGAGAGAGACACGTGGGGAGGTGACACACGAGCGAGAGAGACAGGAGGTGTTCTACGAGAGTCGAGCAGTAGCCATAGCGGCCGCGTCGGTATAAGCCGCACCTCGCAGGTGAAGGTGGGACGGTGTTTGCTGTTCCCACAGCGGATATCGTAGGTGGGCGTGAGCTTGCGCTTGCCACACCACGCGTAGAGGTGGTTCTTGATGTCGGCCATGTCGGTCTCTCCACCTCCTCACAACGCCTCTCCCCCTGCTGCACAACAGAGACAAAAGATTCCCCATCATGGACTTAACAGGCTGTTGGGGCAAGTGTCGTTAATCTGTACGTCTCAAACATCTACGAGGTAAAGTCACCACGTAGAAGGGAAACAATAAAATAATAAAATATACAAAACAATAAAATGTTAAATTTTATTTTTTATTGTTTTATATCTTTTTTTATTTTATTTTATTGTTTCCCTTCTACGTGGTGGTGACTTTACCGAAAGAACCATGAACATGAATCCCTGCAGTCACGAAAGCTTTAAATCAAAATCTATAGGGTACTTGCCAAAAGGGTAGGCAGCTGACATTTGGTAACCCAGGCAGCTTTTAGGGACTCAAACAGCAAGAGAGATAACTCTAACTATCTAACTATCTACAATCTATATATCAATCAAGGCCTTAATCCGTACGTTTGAAAATTCTTGCGGGTACTTGCCGAAAAGGTAGAAGGATGACATCTGCTACCCAGGTAGATTTTAGGACACTAATAATAGGAAGAGAGAGATCTGAAAATCAGAGATTTTTCATTTTAAGGCCCCCAAATCTCGATGTTTAAGTGCCCCATGAACACGTTTTGTTTGCGTGGTGCCATTCAGAAACCGTTCAACATATCAGATTAAGGTTTTTTTTGTTCCTTTGATAGAGCGTTAGATGGCAAAAAACATTAAAACCATGGGTGGGTTGTATCTTTGATTGCTTTTGAGATTTCGATTTAAAGCTTTTGTGAGTGCAGGGATTCATCTTCTTGGTTGTTTCGGTAAAGTCACGTAAAATGGAAATGAAATATTATTTCCATTTAAAATATTATTTTATTTCCATTTTAAAATATTATTTTATTTCCATTTTAAAATATTATTTTATTTCCATTTTAAAATAGTATTTTATTCCATTTTACGTGACTTTACCGAAAGAACCGAGGAGATGCTTTCGAGATATTTCGGAACGAACAAAAATGCGCGTCTCATGATTTACACATCTGAATACAGTGAGTGGTACCTCGGTATACGACCGCTTTGGAATACGACGAATTTGGTCTACGTCGTGTTTTGACGAGAGGAAAAAAATGTCTTGGGGTACGACGCCTCGCTTGGGATACGATGTCTTGGGGTACGACGTCTTGTGATACGACGCCTCGCTTGGGTTACGACGTCTCGCTTGGGATACGTCTTGCTTGTGATACGACGTCTTGGGATACGTCTTTGCTTGTGATACGCCTTGCTTGGGGTACGACGTCTTGTGGTACGACGCCTTGCTTGGGGTACGACGTCTTGCTTGGGATACGTCTTGCTTGTGATACGACGTCTTGTGATACGACGCCTTGGGATACGTCTTGCTTGGGGTACGACGTCTTGCTTGGGATACGTCTTGCTTGTGATACGACGTCTTGTGATACGACGCCTTGCTTGGCATGCGATGTCTTGCTTGGGGTACGACGTCTTGGGGTACGACGTCTTGCTTGGGATACGACGTCTTGGGGTACGACGTCTTGCTAGAACTTGTATGGGTCGGGATGAGTCGCCGCGTTCCCGAGTAGACCCCGTTCACGACCGAGACAAAGCGCCGCTCCTCAGTCTGCCCGTAGATCTCGTTCCGTGCACAACCCCCCTTGGCTGTAACTCTCTGTTCATTTTCACGTGTTGTTTTTTTTGTCATTTTAACGCCTCTCAGCTAAGGTAAAGCGATGTTAAGTTGTATTTCTTATTTAAACTTATTTTTTAAATCGAAATTATTTTAATTTATTTATGCATTTATTTTAGTAACAAGTAGTGTCTAAATAATGTTATGCAACCCCATTAATCTATAATATGCCATATAAAATATCATTTCTTATACTCTGGAACGGAATATTTCCTATCCCTTGATTTCTTATGGGAAAAATTCGTTTGGTATTCGTCATTTTGGGTACGAGTCCTCCTACCTCCTGGAACGAATTGACGATGTGTACCGAGGTACCACGGTAATTCCAAAACGGTAAAAGATAGTAGAGCTTCCCATATAGACTATTGAGTGAATTTTTCGTTTGTTTACAATAACAAACACAGAACGGAATCTTTAAATTGAGCGGTTTCCGATGGATCAAGTCTTTAAATATAACAAGTTGAACTCGAGTCGTCAACTATTGTGGACAAATAGCAAATGTTATAATAAGCGATGTTAATGTAATCATTAAATGTAGCGATATGTTAAATTATTATAATAAGGAGTGATGTTAATGACATTATTATAAGGAGTGATATGTTAAATTACATTATTAAAAGTAGCGATATCTTAAATAACATTATTATAAGGAGTGATGTTAAATGACATTATTATTATAAGTAGCGATATCTTAAACAACATTATAAGTAGTGATATCTTAAATAACATTATTATAAGTAGTGATATGTTAAATGACATTATTATAAGTAGTGATGTTAAATGACATTATTATAAGGAGTGATGTTAAATTACATTATTATAAGGAGTGTGATATGTTAAATGACATTATTATAAGTAGTGATATGTTACATTACAATAATGAGTGATATCTTAAATTACATTATAAGGAGTGATGTTAAATTACATTATTATTATAAGTGACATGTTAAATTACATTATAAGGAGTGATGTTAAATGGCATTATTATAGGTAGTGATATGTTAAATTACATTATTATAAGTAGTGATATGTTAAATTACATTATTATAATAGGTAGTGATATGTTAAATTACATTATTACGAGTGATATCTTAAATAACATTATTATAAGTAGTGATATGTTAAATTACATTATTATAAGTAGTGATATCTTAAATAACATTATTATAAGTAGTGATATATTAAATGACATTATTATAAGTAGTGATGTTAAATTGCATTATTATAAGGAGTGATATCTTAAATAACATAAGTAGTGATATGTTAAATGACATTATAATAAGTGATATGTTACATGACATTATTATGAGTGATATCTTAAATAACATTATTATAAGTAGTGATATCTTAAATAACATTATTATAAGTAGTGATGTTAAATTAAATTATTATAAGTAGTGATATGTTAAATGACATTATTATGAGGGAACACTCAGGCCTCGACTAGAACTAGGCCGCAACCACCGCCACCGCCGCTCGCTCACGCCGAACCTCGCAAACCCACCGCCGCTGCCGCTGGCTACACCCCCCGGCGTGTGGCGTGTCACGGTGTGGTGCGTGCGGTTCGTGCAGCTTGTGAACGCGTCTGACCCCGCGCTCAGCACGAGCGGGGACCCAACTCACCGCTCCGATGGGTCGCCGTCTGCGCGAAGCCAAATTCAGCAGCGGCGCGGCGTGGCCGAGACGCCGCGCGCCCATTGGTCGGCGCGCGTGGCCACGTGACCCGCCACGTCCACTCCTCCCCCTCCTTTGCTCTTCCCCCTCTCTCGTACTTCCTCCGTGCCCTCCCCCCCTCCTACTTCCTCCCTCCCCCTCCTACTTCCTCCCTCCCCCTCCCCCCTCCTACTTCCTCCCTCCCCCTCCTACTTCCTCCCTCCCCCTCCCCCCTCCTACTTTCTCCCTCCCCCTCCCCCCTCCTACTTCCTCCCACCCCCTCCCCCCTCCTACTTCCTCCCTCCCCCCCTCCTCCTTCCTCCCTCCCCCTCCCCCCTCCTCCTCCCTCCCCCCTCTTACTTCCTCCCGCCCCCTCCCCCCCCCTTCTTTCTCTCTCCCCCTCCCCCCTTCTTTCTCCCTCTCCCTCCCCCCTCCTACTTCCTCCCCCCTCCTACTTTCTCCCTCCCCCCTCCTACTTGCTCTTTTCCCCTCCTACTTCCTCATTCAACTACCCACTCATTCACTCACTCACCCACTCATTCACTCACACACTCACTCACCCACCCACTCACCCACCCAAACACTCACCCACTCATTCACTCACCCAACCACTCATTCACTCACCCACCCACTCATTCACTCACCCACCCACTCATTCACTCACCCACCCACTCATTCACTCACCCACTCACCCACCCACCCACTGAAGCACCCACTAATTCATTGACCACTCATTCACTCACCCACTAATTGACCCACCCACTCATTCACTCACGCACCCACCCATTCATCCACCCATTCATCCACCCACCCACCCACTCACCCACCCACTCAACCACCCACACATTCCCCACCCACCCATTCATCCACCCACTCACCCACTCAAGCACCCACTAATTCATTGACCACTCATTCACTCACCCACTAATTGACCCACCCACTCATTCACTCACGCACCCACCCATTCATCCACCCATTCATCCACCCACTCACCCACCCACTCACCCACCCACTCACCCACCCACCCAACCACCCACACATTCCCCACCCATTCATCCACCCACACATTCCCCACCCACCCATTCATCCACCCACTCACCCACCCACCCACGCACTCGTTCCTTTGCCAAGCCGCTCCATCACCCACGAGGGTTGTTTGACAATCGTCTGGGAATCGGCATCCGTGTGGTCAGTTGCCAGGAGTTGAGTTGGACCGAGCTGAGAGCCCTACCTGGCTCGAACAAGACCGATCGAGCTCAAGTGAGCCTTACCTGGTATAAAAATACGAAAAAAAAATTCAAACATTTTTCTGAAATATCTTAGTTTAGAATGACCGAATCCGGCACGTGGACCCAGCCAAAAAAAAGTGGCCGTTTTAAAAAAAAATGTCTTGCTGTGGTTTTCACACCTGATGATGATTGCTTGTGTTGCAGTCGAAACGTCGTGAGAATTTTTTATCGTTTTATATTTTTTATCATTTCATTGTTTCCCTATCTACGCGGTGGTGACTTTACGGAAAGAACCAAGAATGTGAATCCCTGCAGTCACGAAAGCTTTAAATCAAAAGATGCCAGTTTAGGGAACGTTCTTTGGTATCACGAGATTTATTTCAATCACTGCTTCCACGTACAAAGACAAATATCTACCACGCGCCCCCCCCCCGCCCCCCCAACAGATATGTTTGGGGGCAAGTTCTGCTAGCCACTCGGATCGCCCTGTTAAGGCTGCCGGCACTGTGGCACGCGAGAGGGGGTGGGTGGCCAGCATCCACGCCCGGCCGCCTTTGTCTTCCCCCCAGTGGCGATGTTTACTACTACACACCACGGCACCTACTTCCTCCCTCCCCCCTCCTACTTCCTCCCTCCCCCCTCCTACTTTCTCCCTCCCCCTCCCCCCTCCTACTTCCTCCCTCCCCCCCTCCTACTTCCTCCCTCCCCCTCCCCCCTCCTACTTCCTCCCTCCCCCTCCCCCTTCCTCCCTCCCCCTCCAACTTCCTCCCTCCCCCTCCTCCTTCCTCCCTCCCCCTCCCCCCTCCTCCTTCCTCCCTCCCCCTCCCCCCTCCTACTTCCTCCCTCCCCCTCCCCCCTCCTACTTCCTCCCTCCCCCTCCCCCTCCTACTTCCTCCCTCCCCCTCCCCCCTCCTACTTCCTCCCTCCCCCTCCGACTTCCTCCCTCCCCCTCCCCCCGACTTCCTCCCTCCCCCTCCCCCCTCCTTCCTCCCTCCCCCTCCCCCCTCCTTCCTCCCTCCCCCTCCCCCCTCCTTCCTCCCTCACCCCTCCTCCTTCCTCCCTCCCCCCCCTTCTTTCTCTCTCCCCCTCCCCCCCTTCTTTCTCCCTCCCCCTCCTACTTCCTCCCCCTCCCCCCCTCCTACTTCCTCCCCCTCCTACTTTCTCCCTCCCCCCTCCTACTTGCTCTTTCCCCTCCTACTTCCTCATTCAACTACCCACTCATTCACTCACACACTCACCCACTCATTCACTCACCCACTCATTCACTCACCCACACACTCACTCAACCACCCACTCATTCACTCACCCACTCAACCACCCACTCATTCACTCACCCACCCACCCAAGCACCCACTAATTCATTGACCACTCATTCACTCACCCACTAATTCACCCACCCACCCATTCATCCACCCATTCACCCACCCACCCAACCACCCACACATTCCCCACCCACCCTTTCAACCACCCACACATTCCCCACCCACCCATTCATCCACCCACTCACCCACCCACGCACTCGTTCCTTTGCCAAGCCGCTCCACCACCAACGAGGGTTGTTTGACAATCGTCTGGGAATCGGCATCCGTGTGGTCAGTTGCCAGGAGTTGAGTTGGACCGAGCTGAGAGACCCCACCTGGATTGAACAAGACCGATCGAGCTCAAGTGAGCCTTACCTGGTATAAAATACGAAAAAAATTCAAACATTTTTCTGAAATATCTTAGTTTAGAATGACCGAATCCGGCACGTGGACCCAGCCAAAAAAAAGTGGCCGTTTTTAAAAAAAATGTCTTGCTGTGGTTTTCACACCTGATGATGATTGCTTGTGTTGCAGTCGAAACGTCGTGAGAATTTTTTATCGTTTTATATTTTTTATCATTTCATTGTTTCCCTATCTACGCGGTGGTGACTTTACCGAAAGAACCAAGAATGTGAATCCCTGCGTTCACGAAAGCTTTAAATCAAAAGATGCCAGTTTAGGGAACGTTCTTTGGTATCACGAGATTTATTTCAATCACTGCTTCCACGTACAAAGACAAATATCTACCACGCGCCCCCCCCGCCCCCCCAACAGATATGTTTGGGGGCAAGTTCTGCTAGCCACTCGGATCGCCCTGTGAAGGCTGCCGGCACTGTGGCACGCGAGAGGGGGTGGGTGGCCAGCATCCACGCCCGGCCGCCTTTGTCTTCCCCACAGTGGCGATGTTTACTACTACACACCACGGCACCAGGTACTCGCTTGAGGCTGAGTTGACCTACAGGGGGGGGGGGGGAGGCCCACGACCGGTTTAGATAATCGACACCGGGTGTTTGGTGGCCGTGTGCGGGAATCGAATTCGGGCCTCTTGCTGGGTTCGTAACGCAGCGTAGCACTAGCTGCTGCATCACCGCTCCCCACACAGAGACACACGCACAGACACACACACCGCACGCACACACACACCGCACACAGACACCGCACAGACACAAACACGCAGACACCGCCACACACGCAGACACCGCACAGACACCGCACAGACACACGCACACAGACACACGCACACACACACACAGACACTGCACAGACACAAACACGCAGACACCGCCACACACGCAGACACCGCACAGACACACGCACACACACACCGCACACACACACCGCACACACAGACACCGCAAAGACACACCCGCACAAACACACACACACACGCAGACACCGCCACACATACCGCACAGACACACACACGCAGACACCGCACAGACACCGCACAGACACACACGCATCAACCCACGTGCACAAGATACATTCGCCGTCAACGTCCAGTGCATTTGACAAGGGAGTGGGCCGTGTGCGGTGGATGGTAGGGGGGGCTCAGTGGTTACAAATCGATCCCAAGGGGACAGAGTGGCGGCCCTGGACCGATTCTATCCCCCGGCACTCCTCCAACCTCACTCGCGCGCGCTCCGGCCAAACCATCCCTCCTGGCTCCTCTCACTCGTCGTGGTTGATGGTGGGGGGGGGGCAGAGAGAGAGGGCGGGGGGGGTCAGCTGACCACGGCGTGCCGCGCCATCGGCGAGTCCGCCACCGGTAACCCTTCACGGGACGTCGCCGCGTGCCTCCGAACCTTAACGCCGCCCCTGCTGCTGCCCCCGCGAACCGCGTCCCTGCTGCAACGCAACACGGTCCCACGCTTCATCGTCACTTGAATCAGGTGGCGGCGATGGGGTGGAGGTGACGGCGGCGGCGGCGTTTTACGATGGAGACAATGATGACGGTGATGACGGCGATGATGGTGGCGTTTTACGATGGAGACAATGATGACGGTGATGACGGTGATGATGGTGGCGTTTTACGATGGAGACAATGATGACGGTGATGACGGCGATGATGGTGGCGTTTTACGATGGAGACAATGATGACGGTGATGGCGGCGATGATGGTGGCGTTTTACGATGGAGACAATGATGACGGCGATGATGGTGGCGTTTTACGATGGAGACAATGATGACGGTGATGATGGCGATGATGGTGGCGTTTTACGATGGAGACAATGATGACGGTGATGGCGGCGATGATGGTGGCGTTTTACGATGGAGACAATGATGACGGCGATGATGGTGGCGTTTTACGATGGAGACAATGATGACGGTGATGATGGCGATGATGGTGGCGTTTTACGATGGAGACAATGATGACGATGATGACGGTGATGATGGTGGCGTTTTACGATGGAGACAATGATGACGGTGATGACGGCGATGATGGTGGCGTTTTACGATGAAGAAAATGATGACGGTGATGATGGTGGCGTTTTACGATTAAGACAATGATGATGGTGATGGCGGTGATGATGGTGGCGTTTTACGATGGAGACAATGATGATGATTATGATGACGACGACAATGGTGATCATTCGGACTGCAAGATACTGGAAATTTAATGCATGGTGCATACATTCATATATTAACGCAAGATTCTTACACTTCTTAGGGCTTAAAGAGACCCCACACGGACTAACATAGGCACCTGCAGAAGGACGCTGCGTCCACAGACTCAGAGGGGGTCCCCATAGACACACACAGAAGCCACAGATTCACACAGAGACCCACAGACTAACACAGAACCCATAGACTTACTTACACAACATCCACAGACTCAGGGGTCCCATAGACTTACACAGAACCCATAGATTCACACAGAGACCTATAGATTCACACAGGTCCCCCATAGACACACACAGAAGCCACAGATTCACACAGAGACCCATAGACTTACACAGAACCCATAGATTCACACAGAGACCTATAGATTCACACAGGTCCCCCATAGACACACACAGAAGCCACAGATTCACACAGACCCATAGACTTACACAGAACCCATAGATTCACACAGAGACCTATAGATTCACACAGGTCCCCCATAGACACACACAGAAGCCACAGATTCACACAGAGACCCATAGACTTACACAGAACCCATAGATTCACACAGAGACCTATAGATTCACAAAGGTCCCCCATAGACTCACACAGGTCCCCCATAGACTTGCACAGGTCCCATAGACTTGCCATGTGACCCAACAGGGCTTACTTTAAAAGCGACGAAGTTGCCACGTGCGATAGCGAGAGTGATACTCGCCGTGCCGTGCCGTGCCGGGCCACTGAAATTAAGCCTTGGCCGGCGACGATGATCGCGGTGACGGTGACGACGATGACGATCGCGGTGACGACAGTCACGGTGACGACGGTCACGATGACGACAGTCACGGTGACGACGATCATGATGATGACGACGATCACGGTGACGACGATCACGGTGACGACGATCACGATGACGACGACGATCACGGTGACGACAGTCACGGTGACGACGATCACGATGATGACAACGATCACGGCGACGACGATCGCGGCGACGACAGTCACGGTGACGACGATCACGACGATGACGACGATCACGGCGACGACGATCACGACGACGACGATAGCGGTGACGATGACGACGATCGCGGTGACGGCGACGACGACGATCACGATGACGACAGTCGCGGTGACGACGACGATCGCGGTGACGACGACGACGATCGCGGTGACGACAGTCACGGTGACGACGACGACGATAGCGGCGACGGCGACCTATCAGGGCGACCCCTCGGGCTGCACGGGCAGCACCACGGTGGCCACGCGGCTCCACAGCCCCGCAAACTTGTCCAGGTCGAGCCTCGGCCCCACGAGCGCCCGCCGCAGCGACGCGTAAACCCGGTCCGTGAAATCCCGCAGGGCCCGGCAGCTCCCCTCGCCGGCCTCCCCGGCGCCGGAGGCATCCCCGCCGCCGGCATCCACGCCACCGCCGCCGCCGCCGCCGGCGTCGAGCAGCACGGTGAAGACGATGAGCGCGCGCTTGAACTTAGCCGTCTCGTGGTCGCAGTACGCGTACAGCATGAGCGTCGACGCCGGCGGCAGCCGCTCCAGCCGCACGAGCGCCACGCCGGCGCCGCCGGCGCCCAGCGCCGACCGCAGCCGCTCGTCCAACGCCAGCTTGGCCTCGTCGCCCGACATCCCCGACAGTTCCGCGCCGCTCAGCGTCACCGTCGCCCGCGGGCCGCCGCCGCCGCCGCCGCCGCCGCCGCCGCCGCGGCCGTCGCCCTCGGCGGCGGCGGCGGCGGCCGCGGCGTCGCCGTAGGCCGCCGCCAGGCCGGCCGCCAGACCCTCGGCGGCGCGGAGGCCCCGGGGGCCCGACGCCAGCAGCAGCGTCGCCGGCTGGCTCGGCGTGCCGGGGTCGCCGTCGGCCAGCGCGGCCAGGTGGCGCCGCAGGGTGATGTTGACGCGGCGCCACAGCTCGTCGCACTGCGAGGGGTGGCGCCGGCGGGCGGCTTCGAGGCGCTCGCCGAACACCGCCGAGTGCGGGGGCTCCGGCGCGCCGGGGCGCCCGGCGGCCCCCGGCGACCCGCGGCCGCGGCCGGCTCCTGCGGACCACCACCACCACCAGGCCGCCGCCGCCAACACCGCCAACGCCGCCAACGTCACGCCCGCCAGCAGCAGCGGCGGCCGCGGTGGCCGCGGTGGCCTGTCCCTGCCGCCGGAGGCGGCCTCCTTGGCGGCCGATGGCCCTGCGGGAGGTGGGGGTGTGGGTGCAGGAAGAAATCCCGATTTGTTTATTACTGGAGGAATCCGACGAGCGATAGAGCTCTTGTTCGCACGTGTCCGGTAGGTGGACGGGGGTGTGGGGAAATGGAGGGGCGCATCACACACAGAGACCCACAGACTCACGCACACACACAGAGACCCATAGACTCACCACACAGAGACCCACAGACTCACCACACAGAGACTCACAGACTCACACACACAGAGACCCACAGACTCACCACACAGAGACCCACAGACTCACCACACAGAGACTCACAGACTTACCACACAGACTCACAGACTCACACACACACAGACCCACACAGACTCACACACACAGAGACCCACACAGACTCACACACACAGACCCACACAGACTCACACACACAGTAGACCCACAGACTCACACACACAGACCCACACAGACTCACACACATAGAGACCCACAGACTCACAACACACAGAGACCCACAGACTCACAACACACAGAGACGCACACACACAAAGACCCACAGACTCACACACAGAGACCCACACAGGCTCACACACACAGAGACCCACACAGACTCACACACACAGAGACCCACAGACTCACACACACAGAGACCCACAGACTCACACACACAGAGACCCACAGACTCACACACACAGAGACCCACAGGCTCACACACACAGAGACTCACAGACTCACTACACACACAGAGACCCACAGACTCACACACACACAGAGACCCACAGACTCACGCACACACAGAGACCCACAGACTCACGCACACAGAGACCCACAGACTCACCACACAGAGACTCACAGACTCACACACACACACAGACCCACACAGACTCACACACGCAGAGACCCACACAGATTCACACACACAGAGACCCACAGACTCGCACACACAGACACCCACACAGACCCACACACACAGAGACCCACACATTCTCACACACACAGAGACCCACACAGACTCACACACATAGAGACCCACAGGCTCACACACACAGAGACCCACAGACTCACCACACACACAGAGACCCACACAGACTCACACACACACGCAGAGACCCACACAGATTCACACACACAGAGACCCACAGACTCGCACACACAGACACCCACACAGACCCACACACACAGAGACCCACACATTCTCACACACACAGACCCACACAGACTCACACACATAGAGACCCACAGGCTCACACACACAGAGACCCACAGACTCACCACACACACAGAGACCCACACAGACTCACACACACACACAGAGACCCACACAGACACACACACACAGAGACCCACACAGACTCACCACACACACAGAGACCCACACAGACTCACCACACACACAGAGACCCACACAGACTCACCACACACACAGAGACCCACACAGACTCACCACACACACAGACCCACACATGCTCACACACACAGACCCACACAGACTCACACACACAGAGACCCACAGGCTCACACACACAGAGACCCACAGACTCACACACACACACAGACCCACACAGACTCACACACACACAGAGACCCACACAGACTCACACACACACAGAGACCCACACAGACACACACACACAGAGACCCACACAGACTCACCACACACACAGAGACCCACACAGACTCACACACACACAGAGACCCACACAGACTCACACACACACAGAGACCAACACAGACTCACACACACAGACCAACACAGACTCACACACATAGAGACCCACAGGCTCACACACACAGAGACCCACAGACTCACCACACACAGAGACCCACAGACTCACCACACACACAGAGACCCACACAGACTCACACACACAGAGACCCACACAGACTCACACACACACAGAGACCCACACAGACTCACACACACACAGAGACCCACACAGACTCACACACACACAGAGACCCACACAGACTCACCACACACACAGAGACCCACACAGACTCACCACACACACAGAGACCCACACAGACTCACCACACACACACAGACCCACACAGACTCACACACATAGAGACCCACAGACTCACCACACACATAGAGACCCACAGACTCACCACACACACAGAGACCCACAGACTCACCACACACACACAGACCCACACAGACTCACCACACACAGAGACCCACACAGACTCACACACACACAGCGACCCACACAGACTCACCACACACACAGAGACCCACACAGACTCACACACACAGACTCACACACACAGAGACCCACACAGACTCACACACATAGAGACCCACACAGACTCACACACATAGAGACCCACACACATAGAGACCCACACAGACTCACACACACATAGACCCACAGACTCACCACACACAGACTCACCACACACACAGAGACCCACACAGACTCACCACACACACAGAGACCCACACAGACTCACACACACACAGAGACCCACACAGACTCACCACACACACAGAGACCCACACAGACTCACCACACACACACAGACCCACACAGACTCACACACACAGACCAACACAGACTCACACACATAGAGACCCACAGGCTCACACACACAGAGACCCACAGACTCACCACACACATAGAGACCCACAGACTCACCACACACACAGAGACCCACAGACTCACCACACACAGAGACCCACACAGACTCACACACACAGAGACCCACACAGACTCACACACACAGAGACCCACACAGACTCACACACACAGAGACCCACACAGACTCACACACACACAGAGACCCACACAGACTCACACACACACAGAGACCCACACAGACTCACACACACACAGAGACCCACACAGACTCACCACACACACACAGACCCACACAGACTCACACACACAGACCCACACAGACTCACCACACACATAGAGACCCACAGACTCACCACACACACAGAGACCCACAGACTCACCACACACACAGAGACCCACACAGACTCACCACACACAAAGACCCACACAGACTCACACACACACAGCGACCCACACAGACTCACACACACACAGCGACCCACACAGACTCACCACACACACAGAGACCCACACAGACTCACACACACAGACCCACACAGACTCACACACAGAGACCCACACAGACTCACACACACACAGAGACCCACACAGACTCACACACACACAGAGACCCACACAGACTCACCACACACACACAGACCCACACAGACTCACACACACAGACTCACCACACACATAGAGACCCACAGACTCACCACACACACAGAGACCCACAGACTCACCACACACACAGAGACCCACACAGACTCACCACACACAGAGACCCACACAGACTCACACACACACAGAGACCCACAGACTCACACACACAGAGACCCACACAGACTCACACACACAGAGACCCACAGGCTCACACACACAGAGACCCACACAGACTCACACACACAGAGACCCACAGGCTCACACACACAGAGACCCACAGACTCACCACACACACAGAGACCCACACAGACTCACCACACACACAGAGACCCACAGACTCACCACACACACAGAGACCCACACAGACTCACACACACAGACCCACACAGACTCACACACACAGACCCACACAGACTCACACACACAGAGACCCACAGGCTCACACACACACAGCGACCCACAGACTCACCACACACACAGAGACCCCACAGACTCACACACATAGAGACCCACAGACTCACCACACACACAGAGACCCACACAGACTCACCACACACACAGAGACCCTGTCGCCACTTTGACCAAACTCCGACGCTAGGGAGACCCAACTGAACCCGGCAAACACCACCGCCCCTAACCGCACCACCACCACCACCGCCCCCCCCGACAACGCTTGCGCTCACTGCGACCGGCGGCCGGGACGTCCCGTCGGTCCCGGTAGCTGTGGCACCCGTCGCGCTTACGCTGCTGCTGCTGCTGCTGCCGCCGCCGCCGCTGCCGCTGTTGCTGCTGCTGCTGCTGCTTTCGCTGTCTCATGCGCCCGCCGTCCAGTTCCGTCGACTCCACGCTGCGTTCGTCCTCCGAGAGGGTGCCGTTGTAGTCGGAGCCTGTCGACGCCACGGGCGGAGGGTGGTGGTGGTGGTGGGGGGGGGAGGGGGGGGGGCAAAGTCGTAACCACGACCGTCGGCTTACGACGTCAACATCGGCGAAACGTCACCGGGAGGAGGGGTTTGGTTTTTTGGTTTTTTTTGGGGTTGGGTTCGATGGCGTACAGAGAGACCGGAGCGGGGAGGAGTGTTTCTCCCCACAACTCTGCGCCAGCTGTCGCCTGACGAGACTGTTGTTTTGATTTAAAGCTTTCGTGACTGCAGCAATTCACATTCTTGGCTCTTTCGGTAAAGTCACCACGGTGAAGGGAAACAATAAAATAATCAAATATATATAAAACAATAAAAAAAATTCTCACGACGTTTCGACCGTTTGCGTCATGGTCGAAACGTCGTGATAATTTTTGTTATTGTTTTATATATAGATTTTATTATTTTATTGTTTCCCTTCAACTTGGTGACTTTACCGAAAGAGCTAAGAATATGAGGTTGTTGTTGTTGTGGTTGTTGTTGCTGTTGGGATTACCGGCCAAACGCCACGGCCACTACTCGAATTGTAAATTGTTGCTGCGGGTTTAACTCCCCCAACACACAACAACCGGTATAGTGCCGAACCAAGTAACCGGGTGGCCACGTTTGGTTCTTGGTGACACAAACCCTGAACACCGATTGGCCGTGCCGTCGTGGTGGTGGTGGCGGGTTTCACGACACGTTTATATATTCACGCGGTCTAATTTAAACGACAACAAAAAAAAACCTCTATTGTGGATGGTATTGGTCGCATGTCAAATCAACACCGACATCAACGTCGTTGAGTGACGGCGACGTCGCCACGGCAGCCTGTGCCAGGCTGGGTGCACTTTGACACCTTCACGTGACGTGTCGAAAGGCTCTTGCTGCTGCTGGCAGGAGGAGGTCACGTGACAAACCCAGGTGGTGCCATGGGGCTGACCGAGATGACCTGGCATAATGCACCACCTGTACCCCATGCACTGTGCCAGGCTAGGTGCAGGAGGAGGTCACGTGACAAACCCAGGTGGTTCCATGGGGCTGACCGAGATGACCTGGCATAATGCACCACCTGTGCCCCCCTTACTGTGCCAGGCTAGGTGCAGGAGGAGGTCACGTGACAAACCCAGGTGGTGCCATGGGGCTGACCAAGATGACCTGGCATAACGCACCACCTGTACCCCATGCACTGTGCCAGGCTAGGTGCAGGAGGAGGTCACGTGACAAACCCAGGTGGTGCCATGGGGCTGACCAAGATGACCTGGCATAACGCACCACCTGTACCCCATGCACTGTGCCAGGCTAGGTGCAGGAGGTGGTCACGTGACAAACCCAGGTGGTGCCATGGGGCTGACCGAGATGACCTGGCATAACGCACCACCTGTGCCCCCTCCCTACTGTGCCAGGCTAGGTGCAGGAGGAGGTCACGTGACAAACCCAGGTGGTGCCATGGGGCTGACCGAGATGACCTGGCATAATGCACCACCTGTGCCCCCCTTACTGTGCCAGGCTAGGTGCAGGAGGAGGTCACGTGACAAACCCAGGTGGTGCCATGGGGCTGACCGAGATGACCTGGCATAATGCACCACCTGTACCCCATGCACTGTGCCAGGCTAGGTGCAGGAGGAGGTCACGTGACAAACCCAGGTGGTGCCATGGGGCTGACCGAGATGACCTGGCATAACGCACCACCTGTGCTTTCCCTACTGTGCCAGGCTAGGTGCAGGGAGGAGGTCACGTGACAAACCCAGGTGGTGCCATGGGGCTGACCGAGATGACCTGGCATAACGCACCACCTGTGCCCCCCCCCTACTGTGCCAGGCTAGGTGCAGGAGGTCACGTGACAAACCCAGGTGGTGCCATGGGGCTGACCGAGATGACCTGGCATAACGCACCACCTGTGCCCCATGCACTGTGCCAACTACTCGCTGTATTTTAGCCGCCGCGTGCCGCTACGCCCGCTATTACACGGCCAGCCCCACGCCACTCCCGGCCGCCTTTGTCTCCCTTAGTGGCGACGCTCACACACCGCACCAGGTAAATCGTTCGAGGCCGAGTCGACCTAGGGGAGAGGCTGACGACCGGTTTAGATTATGTAGATCAGTGGTCACCTACGCCGAAGACAAAGATGCCCCGCGTAGCCCAAACAGACTGCCGGGGCAAGTGCTGTTAGCGTGCGGCAGCACCAATGAAGGCCGACACGGCACGCGAGAGGGGGCGGGGGGTGGCCAGCTCCATGCCCGGCCGCCTTTGTCTCCCTCATGGCGACGTTCACACACCGCACCAGCTGCTCATTTGAGGCCCAGTCAACCTAGGGGAGTGGCCCAGGTCGGCCTCGGAAAAATCGTCACCGGTGCTGGTCGCGAGCGGGGAAATCGAACTCGGGCCGCCGAGTTTGTAGCACCACCACCACCGCCAACATCGCCGCCGCTAAATCGGCGCGCGACCACCATCACCACCACCGCCACGATCACCGGCACCACCAACACCACCGCCACCACCGAATTGCCCCCGCCCCCGCCCACCCCTCCCCCCAACCAATCCTTCACCTTTTCCCGTATCGGCTTTGGTGTATTGTTGCCAAGCATCTGTTTCGCTCTCCTCTCCGGCCTCCAATTTGTCTCCATCGCCGTGCTCCATCTCGCTCGCGTTGGCCCATCCCGAGGGCGCGGGGCCTGAACGTCGCAATTGGAAATCTGCATTCAAAACAAACACGCATACACACACACACGCACACATACAAGCACACACACACACACACAAGCACACACAAACAAACACAAACACACATACAAGCACACAAATACACATACAAACAAACATGCACACATACATACAAGCATACAAACAAGCACACAAACAAACACATACAAGCACACATACAAACAAGCACACAAACAAACATACACAAACAAGCATACAAACAAACACGCACACACACACATACACACACACACACAAACAAAAACGCACACACACGCACAAACCGCGATGAAGGAGTTGGTTTTTTTTGGGTCGGGGTTTGGATCGCGCCAAAACGCAAACATTGTCGTAACCCTCCACCACCCGACGCAAGCCGGCCCGGGTTTTGGCGATGACATTGACCAGCATCAAGGTCGGGCGATTTGCCAGACTAAGGGGGCTACGACACATTTGTACTTCACGCGATGGACCCTTTGTTCTGAATGATATTGGTCATTCTTCGTGATAAACAAACTAAAAACTATGAAAACGAACTGATGTTAAGAGTCTCAATCATCCGCGCCTACGCTGGGGGGGGGGTGGGGATAATCCAAAAGTAGAACCATTTCCCGCGGATCTTTGCCTAAAAACCACTGCAAAAATGTGTAAGCTACGTTTCAGTTAAGAAAGTTAAGGTTGGGTCGAGGCTCAAAAGGAAGCCGTTCCTTGCTGTGGACCAATCAGTTTCAAGGACAATGCATACATTTTGATTAAAAACTTTCGTGACTGCAGGGATTCACATTCTTGGTTCTTTCGGTAAAGTCACCACCACGTAGAAGGGAAACAATAAAATAATAAAAATATAAAACAATTATTTTATTGTTTCTCTTCTACGTGACTTTACCGAAAGAACCAAGAATATAACGCATATATTATCATGGCATGTACTTTATTTGCATTTTGACTGCAAGTATTGTGGTTCATGCACGCATGAATCACCTAGTGATAAGGTTTCAGTTTTGTTGCCGGAAAAAAAATGGGGAAAAACCCTATTATTTTAAAATTAAGTTTGTTAATGAACAAAGCCACAAATTCGCTGCAAAGAATGTGTACCGGTCTCGGTTTCATCACAAGAGTGCGTACACGCGCACACACTTAAAAAGAGGTTTGAAAACTCACGATTTAAAGTTCAAACGAAAACCACGCTTTCCGTTCCCCTGCCATCACACGGTCCCGCAAATAAATACATAAATAAAGAGCTCGCGAAATAAACGGTCGGGATAAATCGCTCAACAAAAAAATCCACATCGCCACCGACAATTTCCATCATTTACCCATTCGGCACGGAACGAAAGCAAACGATCGATCGACCGACCGACTGACCAATTGACCGATTGACCGACCGATCGAGGAGCTCAGCGTTAATGACAACAACAACAATAACAACAATAACAACACTTTCCTGGCTCTCGCTCGGCAGAAGACTCGGCCCCACCGGGCGGACGACAAGCAGAGCCACGCCAATCAACATCAATCAAACTCCGCCAACCCGCCCCGCGTAAAGATATTGCAACTACTGTACTGTGGAGGGCGACGGCGTGGATTCGGGATTGACCGCAGCGACGTGCATGGACTTGTAATACGCATGTCCAAGAATGGCAATATCGGCACCTCCACCGCCACCACCGTCAACGCACCACGACCACCGTCGGTCCCACCGCCACCGTCAACGCACCACGACCTCAAATCGGCGCCGCCACCAACGCCACCACAACCACCCCCGACGATCATCGCCAACTCCACTAACCACCAGCGATCAAGGGAACCACCATCGAGCACCCTCCATCGCCGCCAACGACACACCACGACCACCATCCGCTTCGGCGGCGGCGCCACCACCACCACCACCGCCACCGACCATCACAGACCCCAGCACCCACCGCACAGCCAACACCAACCTCTCACCTGTCGGTGTAGGCAACTCGTCATCCGAATTTTCCAAACTTCCTCCATCCATCTCCTCCTCCTCCCCCTCCTCGTCCACCTCCTCCCCACCCTGGCTGATGTCCTCCCGTGGCGGCTTCACCTTCGTGCGATGCCGGGAGGGGCCTGAAAACCAGGAGCACGGGGGGGGGGGGGGGCGGGGGGGCAAGCCGAAACGGGAACCGTCGATCGATCGATCTTTTACTTCGTGTGCCGATAAATTCGGCCTCGACAAAGTGGCCATCGGCGCCGGATCACGGCGGAACGGGCGACGGTCTCGGAGGCGGTAGGGGCGCGACACACGGAGCACATGGCAATGAGAAGATGGCGAGGTGTTGACTACCTCGCCTGGTGCACAGGAGGTCGTGGGTTCGATCCCGACTCTGACAACGCCTGCTGCTGCTGCTGTAGATTTGGAGTCTGCGTCTCTCTCGCATCATCACGGTGGCTAGGAGATGTTAACTACCTCGCCTGGTGTACAGGAGGTCGTGGGTTCGATCCCGACCCCGACAACACCTGCTGTATATTTGGAGTTTGCATGTAGCGAGACGTTAACTACCTCGCCTGGTGTACAGGAGGTCGTGGGTTCGATCCCGACCCCGACAACACCTGCTGTATATTTGTGGTTTGCGTGTAGCGAGATGTTAACTACCTCGCCTGGTGTACAGGAGGTCGTGGGTTCGATCCCGACCCCGACAACACCTGCTGTATATTTGTGGTTTGCGTGGAGCGAGATGTTAACTACCTCGCCTGGTGCGCAGGAGGTCGTGGGTTCGATCCCGACTCTGACGACGCCTGCTGCTGCTGTATATTTAGAGTTTGCGTGTCTCTGTCTGTCTCCTAGTAGTCCCGTGCGTTATTTCTCCCGGGTCCTCCGGCTCTCCCCTCCACATTGAGAATCAACGTCACGCGCTCAGAGCACTTGGCTGCTGCTATAAATTTCCACGTGATAAGCCACGTCCGTGAGGTACACTACAATATACACTCCACTATACACTACGTTATATACTACAATACACACTCCACTATACACTACGTTATATACTACAATACACACTCCACTATACACTACGCTATATACTACAATACACACTCCACTATACACTACGCTATATACTACAATACACACTCCACTATACACTACGCTATATACTACAATACACACTCCACTATACACTACGCTATATACTACAATACACACTCCACTATACACTACGCTATATACTACAATACACACTCCACTATACACTACGCTATATGCTACAATACACACTCCACTATACACTACGCTATATACTACAATACACACTCCACTATACACTACGCTATATACTACAATACACACTCCACTATACACTACGCTATATACTACAATACACACTACACTATATACTACAATACACACTCCACTATACACTACGCTACACACTCCACTATACACAACGCTATATACTACAATACACACTCCACTATACATTACGTTATATACTACAATACACACTCCACTATACACTACGTTATATACTATAATACACACTCCACTATACACTACGCTATATACTACAATATACACAACTATACACTACGCTATATACTACAATACACACTCCACTATACACTACGCTATATACTACAATACACACTCCACTATACACTACGCTATATACTACAATACACACTCCACTATACACTACGCTATATACTACAATACACTACAATACACTCCACTATACACTCCGCTATACACTACAATGCGCACTCCACTATATACTACAATACACTACAATACACTCCACTATACACTACACTATATACTACAATACACTACACTATACTACACTATATACTACAATACACACTCCACTATACACTACACTATATACTACAATACACACTCCACTATACACTACACTACATACTACAATACACACTCCACTATACACTACGCTATATACTACAATACACACTCCACTATACACGACACTATATACTACAATACACACTCCACTATATACTACAATACACTATATACTACAATACACTCCACTATACACTACGCTATATACTACAATACACTCCACTATACACTACAATGCGCACTCCACTATATACTACACTATATACTACAATACACACTCCACTATATACTACACTATATACTACAATACACACTACACCACGATACTAAACGGAAAACTAATTTACTTTGAACCCCCTCACTATTAGCATGGTTGGCTACGTACGGGGCAAGCGCAGTTAGACATACAGCGTACATAGACTCATAGACACCCATAGACTCACCACATAGAGGCCTAGACTCATCACACAGACACCCATAGCCTCATCACACAGACACCCATAGTCTCACCACACTGAGACCCATAGACTCACCACACAGAGACCCATAGACTCACCACACAGAGACCCATAGACTCACCACACAGAGACCCATAGACTAATCACACAGAGACCCATAGACTAATCACACAGAGACTCATAGACTAATCACAGAGAGACCCATAGACTCATCACACAGAGACCCATAGACTCATCACACAGAGACCCATAGACTCACCACACGGAGACCCATAGACTCACCACACAGAGGTCCATAGACTCACCCACACAGAGACCAACAGACTCACCACACAGAGACCCATAGATTCACCACACAGACCCATAGACTCACCACACAGAGACCCATAGACTCACCACACAGACACCCATAGACTCACCACCCAGAGACCCATAGACTCACCACACAGAGACCCATAGACTCGCACAGAGACCCATAGACTCACCACAGAGACCCATAGACTCACCACACAGAGACCCATAGACTCACCACACAGAGACCCATAGACTCACCACACGGAGACCCATAGACTCACCCACACAGAGACCCACAGACTCACCACACAGAGACCCATAGACTCACCACACAGAGACCCATAGACTCGCCACACAGAGACCCATAGACTCGCCACAGAGACCCATAGACTCACCACACAGAGACCCATAGACTCACCACACAGAGACCCATAGACCCACCACACAGAGACCCATAGACTCACTACACGGAGACCCATAGACTTACCACCCAGAGACCCAGACTCACCACACAGAAACCCATATACTCATCACCCAGAGACCCAGACTAACCACACAGAAACCCATAGACTCACCACCCAGTGACCCATAGACTCACCACCCAGAGACCCATAGACTCACCACCCAGAGACCCATAGACTCACCACCCAGAGACCCATAGACTCACCACACAGAAACCCATAGACTCACCACACAGAGACCCATAGACTCACCACACAGAAACCCATAGACTCACCACCCAGAGACCCATAGACTCACCACACAGAGACCCATAGACTCACCACACTGAAACCCATAGACTCACCACCCAGAGACCCATAGACTCATCACAAAGAGACCCAGACTCACCACACAGAGGTCCATAGACTCACCACACAGAGACCCATAGACTCACCACACAGAGACCCATAGACTCACCACACAGAGACCCACAGACTCACCACACAGAGACCCACAGACTCACCACACAGAGACCCACAGACTCACCACACAGAGACCCATAGACTCACCACACAGAGACCCATAGACTCACCACACAGAGACCCATAGACTCATCACACAGAAACCCATAGACTCACCACACAGATACCCATAGACTCACCACCCAGAGACCCATAGACTCACCACGCAGAGACCCATAGACTCACCACACAGAGACCCATAGACTCACCACACAGAGACCCACAGACTCACACACACAGAGACCCATAGACTCACCACACAGAGACCCATAGACTCACCACACAGAAACCCATAGACTCACCACACAGAAACCCATAGACTCACCACCCAGAAACCCATAGAATCACCACACAGAGACCCATAGACTCATCACACAGAGACCCATAGACTCATCACACAGAGACCCATAGACTCATCACACAGAGACCCATAGACTCACCACCCAGAGACCCATAGACTTACCACACGGAGACCCATAGACTCACCACATAGAGCCACAGACTCACCACACAGAGACCCATAGACTCACCACGCAGAGACCCATAGACTCTTGTCCTTCCCCGGCGCCTCCGACGAGGACGGTCGGCTACGTAGGGCGCGAAAGAAGTTCAACGTGCATACGCTTACCTAATCCGGAATGAAACTCACTCAAAGAGGGGCTGCCACCTGCAGAGCTGGGTGTGTTGGGGGGGCTGAGCAAGGGCGAACAATGAGGTGGCGGTGAGCGTGGAGTGCTACAATGCCTCTGCAATGCCTGTGGTATCTGTAGCTAGCTCTGTCAAACATTAAACCACGGAGTGCATTATGGGAAGGACATGGAGGGGGTGGGTGTGTGTGTGTGTGTGTTTAATGTAATTACGTTGAGATGGCTGGGTGGCTCAAAGGGCAAAAAGCACCCTAGCTGGCCACTGCAGAGGGGATAGGTACAAGTCCAGGTGTGAAGGCTCAAGCCCTTGGGGTACCAACGTGCAGCGGATTGGTGATAACAGCACCCGTCATCACGACGACACACAGACTTGGAGAGAGACACACAGACTTAGAAAGAGACACACAGACTTAGAGAGAGACACACAGACTTAGAGAGACACACACAGACTTAGAGAGACCCACACAGACTTAGAGAGAGACACACACAGACTTAGAGAGAGACACACACAGACTTAGAGAGAGACACACAGACTTAGAGAGACACACATAGAGACACACAGACTTAGAGAGACAAACACAGACTTAGAGAGACCCACACAGACTTAGAGAGACACACACAGACTTAGAGAGACGCACACAGACTTAGAGAGACACACACAGACTTAGAGAGACACACAGACTTAGAAAGACCAACACAGACTTAGAGAGACCCACACAGACTTAGAGAGAGACACACAGACTTAGAAAGACCCACACAGACTTAGAGAGACACACACAGACTTAGAAAGACCCACACAGACTTAGAGAGACCCACACAGACTTAGAGAGACCCACACAGACTTAGAGAGACCCACACAGACTTAGAAAGACCCACACAGACTTAGAGAGACCCACAGACTTAGAGAGACACACAGACTTAGAGAGACACACACAGACTTAGATAGAGACACACAGACTTAGAGAGAGACACACAGACTTAGAGAGAGACACACAGACTTAGAGACACACACACAGACTTAGAGACACACACACAGACTTAGAGAGACACACACAGACTTAGAGACACACACACAGACTTAGAGAGACACACACAGACTTAGAGAGACCCACACAGACTTAGAGAGACACACACAGACTTAGAGAGAGACACAGACTTAGAGACCCACACAGACTTTGAGAGACCCACACAGACTTAGAGAGACACACACAGACTTAGATAGAGACACACAGACTTAGAGAGAGACACAGACTTAGAGAGAGACACACAGACTTAGAGACACACACACAGACTTAGAGACACACACACAGACTTAGAGAGACACACACAGACTTAGAGACACACACACAGACTTAGAGAGACACACACAGACTTAGAGAGACCCACACAGACTTAGAGAGACACACACAGACTTAGAGAGAGACACAGACTTAGAGACCCACACAGACTTTGAGAGACCCACACAGACTTAGAGAGACGCACACAGACTTAGAGAGACGCACACAGACTTAGAGAGACACACAGACTTAGAAAGACCCACACAGACTTAGAAAGACCCACACAGACTTAGAAAGACCCACACAGACTTAGAAAGACCCACACAGACTTAGAAAGACCCACACAGACTAAGAGAGACACACACAGACTTAGAGAGACACACAGACTTAGAGAGACACACAGACTTAGAAAGACCCACACAGACTTAGAGAGACCCACACAGACTTAGAGAGACCCACACAGACAGACTTAGAAAGACCCACAGACTTAGAGAGACACACAGACTTAGAGAGACACACACAGACTTAGATAGAGACACACAGACTTAGAGAGAGACACACAGACTTAGAGAGAGACACACAGACTTAGAGACACCCACACAGACTTAGAGAGACACACACACAGACTTAGAGAGACACACACAGACTTAGAGAGAGACACACAGACTTAGAAAGAGACACACAGACTTAGAGAGAGACACACAGACTTAGAGAGACACACAGACTTAGAGAGACACACACAGACTTAGAGAGACACACAGACTTAGAGAGACCCACACAGACTTAGAGAGACGCACACAGACTTAGAGAGACCCACACAGACTTAGAGAGACACACACAGACTTAGAGAGACACACACAGACTTAGAGAGAGACACACAGACTTAGAGAGACACACACAGACTTAGAGAGAGACACACAGACTTAGAGAGAGACACACAGACTTAGAGACACCCACACAGACTTAGAGAGACACCCACACAGACTTAGAGAGACACACACACAGACTTAGAGAGACACACACAGACTTAGAGAGAGACACACAGACTTAGAGAGAGACACACAGACTTAGAGAGACACACACAGACTTAGAGAGACACACACAGACTTAGAGAGACACACAGACTTAGAGAGACACACAGACTTAGAGAGACACACACTTAGAGAGACACACACAGACTTAGAGAGACCCACACAGACTTAGAGAGACCCACACAGACTTAGAGAGACACACAGACTTAGAGAGACACACAGACTTAGAGAGACACACACAGACTTAGAGAGAGACACACAGACTTAGAGAGAGACACACAGACTTAGAGAGACTCAGACTTAGAGAGACACACACAGACTTAGAGAGACTCAGACTTAGAGAGACACACATAGAAACACAGACTTAGAGAAACACACATAGACCCACACAGACTTAGAGAGACCCACAGACTTAGAGAGACACACAGACTTAGAGAGACACACAGACTTAGAGAGAGACAGACTTAGAGAGAGACACACAGACTTAGAGAGAGACACACAGACTTAGAGACACCCACACAGACTTAGAGGACTTACACAGACTTAGAGGACTTACACAGACTTAGAGAGACCCACACAGACTTAGAGAGACCCACACAGACTTAGAGAGACACACACAGACTTAGAGAGACACACACAGACTTAGAGAGACCCACACAGACTTAGAGAGACCCACACAGACTTAGAGAGACCCACACAGACTTAGAGAGACACACAGACTTAGAGAGACACACAGACTTAGAGAGACACAGACTTAGAGAGACACACAGACTTAGAGACACCCACACAGACTTAGAGACACCCACACAGACTTAGAGAGACACACACAGACTTAGAGAGACACACACAGACTTAGAGAGACACACACAGACTTAGAGAGACACACACAGACTTAGAGAGACACACACAGACTTAGAGAGACACACACAGACTTAGAGACACACACAGACTTAGAGAGACACACACAGACTTAGAGAGACACACACAGACTTAGAGAGACACACACAGACTTAGAGAGACACACACAGACTTAGAGGCACACACACAGACTTAGAGAGACACAGACTTAGAGAGACACAGACTTAGAGACACACACACAGACTTAGAGAGACACACACAGACTTAGAGAGACACAGACTTAGAGGCTTACATAGAGACCCACACAGACTTACATAGAGACCCACACAGACTTACATAGAGACCCACACAGACTTACGAAGGTTTAGACACAAAGATTCCCAGAGATTAAAAAGTAATTTAATTCGGACTGCCTGCCCCCCGCACCTACGATTAGCGCCGGTTGGCTACGTACGGTGCGAAAGAAAGTTGAGCACACTGCACTGTACACATACACACACACCGCACTGTACACATACACACACCGTCACCGAAAGAGGAAGTAACGTGCCTTACCGATGAGAACGTCAATAACCTAAACAAAGGCTTGGCCACACATTTCCCTCAGGGGTTCAGTTTAAAGCAACACCTGAGGAATATTGCCCACGACTTTCCTCATCACCACCAACCACCATCGTTTAACCGCAGTGGGCAAGGGCCTCGGGCCTAGCATCGATACGAGACCACGGCCTCGCCTGGTTTCCCTACCCAACTCGGTGCGCCTAACCGCGGCAAAGCGACCTGCGTCCGCGTCCGTGCCGCCCGCATGTCCACGCACCCCCGTGCCCCGCCGCGCCTATCGATCCACCCGTTCTCGTGAACCTCGTGGCCCGTCACTCACTCTTGTCTCCCGCGACGCCCTGGCGTATGCCGCGTCTCGACGTGACGCCGGTCAGACTTTCCAGGTAAGCGTCCTTGCTCGCCGCTCCGCGCGTACGGGGCGGTGTCGTCGCCGCCATGTTACCTGGGGGAGACGACAGCGGGTGGATGCCCGGTCCGCCATCTTACGTAGGGTGGGGGGGGAGGTCACGTGGCGATCAGCAACGCCCCCCCCTACCTCCGTACCCCCACAACCGTAGTAAGATGGCCGCCCTAAACGTAACTGCAGTATAAACACATTCCTTTTTTTTAATCGACATTGAGAGAAATACAAATTATTTTGACCGTTCGGATAGCTACAGACTTAGTGCAGCTTGGAAGCGAATCATTAAATAATACATTGTTTAAATGCATCAGTACCGCCTCCCGTATTGTGTACCCCCTCCCCGTGGTAAGATGGCCGCCATAAATTAAACTACAGCATAAACACCAAAAATCTGTAGAAATTGAGAGAAATAAAACTAATTTTAACCGTTCAGATAGCTACAGACTTAGTGCTGCTTGGAAGCGAATCATTAAATAATACATTGTTTAAATGCAGTGTCTCAATAAATGCAAACCGCCACTTCTTTCAAATGTTGCTTGCCGTTGGGTTTTCACACCTGATGATGACCGTTTGCGTTATGGTCGAAACGTCGTGATAATTTTTTATTGTTTTATATATATTTTATTACTTTATTGTTTCCCTTCAACGTGACTTTACCGAAAGAGCGAAGAATATGCATTAGCACCGTTTCAATTTGGGCAAAAGAAATCGTAATGTTTGTCTGTTTGTACTTTGTAGGATGAACTTTGAGATTCATAAGGGAACGGGGTGACCAATAAGATATGAATTGGTCTGTAATACGGTAGGGCACTGATAAGGGGTTGACAGGTATATAGTGGTGCGTGTAGTGGTGAGTGTAGTAGTGCTGATTGTACTTGTGGTGAGTGTACTAGGGGTGAGTGTACTTGTGAGTGTACTAGTGGTGAGTGTAGTAGTGGTGATTGTCTATTTAATTGTGTTTCACACTTGTGATGGGACTTTTTTTAGGATGAATGTTGAGATTTATAAGGGGTTAGGGGTGACCAATAAGGTCTGAATTGGTCTCTAATAAGGTAGGACACTGATAAGGGGTTGACAGGTTTGGTAGTGAAACACTGGTAGGGAGACACTGGGTAGTGAGACACTGGGTAGCGAGACACTGGTAGTGAGACACTGGGTAGTGAAACACTGGGTAGTGAGACACTGGTACAGAGAAACTGGGTAGTGAGACACTGGGTGGTGAGACACTGGGTAGTGAAACACTGGGTAGTGAAACACTGGGTAGCGAGACACTGGGTAGCGAGACACTGGGTAGCGAGACACTGGGTAGTGAGACACTGGGCAGTGAGACACTGGGCAGTGAGACACTGGTACAGAGACACTGGTAATGAGACACTAGTACAGAGACACTGGTAGTGAGACACTGGGTAGTGAGACACTGGTACAGAGACACTGGGTAGTGAGACACTGGATAGTGAGACACTGGGTGGTGAGACACTGGGAAGTGAGACACTGGTACAGAGACACTGGGTAGTGAGACACTGGGTAGTGAGATACTGGGTGGTGAGACACTGGGTAGTGAGACACTGGGAAGTGAGACACTGGGTAGTGAGACAATGGGTAGTGAGACACTGGGTAGTGAGACACTGGATAGTGAGACACTGGGTGGTGAGACACTGGGAAGTGAGACACTGGTACAGAGACACTGGGTAGTGAGACACTGGGTAGTGAGATACTGGGTGGTGAGACACTGGGTAGTGAGACACTGGGAAGTGAGACACTGGGTAGTGAGACAATGGGTAGTGAGACACTGGGTAGTGAGACACTGGTACAGAGACACTGGTAATGAGACACTAGTACAGAGACACTGGTAGTGAGACACTGGGTAGTGAGACACAGGGTAGTGAGACACTGGTACAGAGACACTGGGTAGTGAGGCACTGGGTAGTGAGACACTGGGTAGTGAGACACTGGATAGTGAAACACTGGTACAGAGACACTGGTACAGAGACACTGGGTAGTGAGACACTGGGTCGTGAGACACTGGGTAGTGAGACACTGGGTAGTGAGACACTGGTACAGAGACACTGGTACAGAGACACTGGGTAGTGAGACACTGGGAAGTGAGACACTGGGTAGTGAGACACTGGATAGTGAAACACTGGTACAGAGACACTGGTACAGAGACACTGGGTAGTGAGACACTGGGTAGTAAGACACTGGGTAGTGAAACTCTGGTACACAGACACTGGGTAGTGAGACACTGGGTAGTGAGACACTGGTACAGAGACACTGGGTAGTGAGACACTGGTACAGAGACACTGGTATAGAGACACTGGATAGTGAATACCTGTCAACCCATATGGTTTACCCAGTATTCTTGTGCAGGGGAAATTGAAGTTTTCATGTCTGTACGGCGTACAGCCGTTTCAATACGGACAAAAAACATCATGTTTGTCGATTTGTTTGTGTTTCTCCCTTGTGAAGGGACTTTGTAGGATGAACGTTGAGATTTATAAAGGGTAATAGGGGACCAATAAGGTCTGAATTGTTCTGTAATACGGTAGTACACTGATAAGGGGTTGACAGGAATGCCCTTCACAAACCCCTCCAAGGTGTTCAGCCGTTCTGGAGTCGACCCACTTCTCCGGAAGACAGAAACACAACGCAGCCGTGTCATCGTCTACGAACTTTTATTATTTGTGTAATGACGACTTGACACACTTCTCTCGAGATGGCACTTTATTGAAGACACGTTCACTTGATGTCAGGCGTGGACCCCCCATCGCAACAGCCCCGAGTCTCCCGCGCATCTCCCCCTTATATACCGACACGAGGCCACGCCCCCCTTCTAGATGATTCTCGCCGACTCTGGACGCTCACTCCACCAGCTGACTCTACCGCCCTCTTCCGTCGCCTGACCACGCCCCCTTCTCGATCATTCCCGTAAGCCACCAGTCTCTTCACACTCACAACTGACTCCCCTGTCAGTTGTGAACGACTGATTGAATGGGCGAATTAACTGAGTGTGTATGAGTGAGTGACATTGTGAACGACTGATTGAATGTGTGAATAACTGAGTGTGTATGAGTGAGTGACATTGTGAACGACTGATTGAATGTGTGAATAACTGAGTGTGTATGAGTGAGTTTGTGAACGACTGATTGAATGGGCGAATAACTGAGTGTGTATGAGTGAGTGACATTGTGAACGACTGATTGAATGTGTGAATAACTGAGTGTGTATGAGTGAGTGAGTTTGTGAACGACTGATTGAATGTGTGAATAACTGAGTGTGTATGAGTGAGTGAGTTTGTGAACGACTGATTGAATGGGCGAATTAACTGAGTGTGTATGAGTGAGTGAGTTTGTGAACGACTGATTGAATGAGCGAATAACTGTGGTGCCGGACGGGCAACGCTGTCGTGGGCAGTGCCGTGGGGGGAGGGCCAATTCCGATTGGCCTTTCCCCTCGTGGTGTTTGTAGCCTCCGCAGCGGCCAAATGGGGACTCTGGATGGGTTCGAGGGGCTGGTGACCCCTCCACCTTCAATGAACTACCACCAAGCTACGAGGCAAAACATTTATTAAGCTTGTGCCGGAGGCCCCAGGGGGACAGGCGTCTATGACGTCTCCTGGCCAAACCCCATTTGGTGGAGCCAGGAGACTGAATCCTTACCCTCGGGGCTCCTCCAGAAACAGCAAAAAAACCACTGCGTATGGCGACGTGGAATGTTCGAACGCTCACTGTGGAGGAGAGGCTGCCACTCCTCTGTCGGGAGCTGGACCGGTACCGCCTGGACCTCTGTGGTATTCAGGAGGTCCGGTGGACCGGCTCTGACACCTGCCACCATGAGGGGTGGACAGACCTCTACTCGGGGCAGGAGACTGCCAAACAACAGGGATCTGGCTCTTCTTCTGAACAAAAGAATGAAGGGGGTGTGGAGCGTGGCGGTGAGGTGTGGGAAGCTGTAAGCCCCAGGCTACTTTGGGCTCGCCTTCCCATCAACCAGAGGCGAGGAGTGGTGGTCATGGTTACTTATGCCCCCACTGAAGACGAACATCCGTGGAGGGATGCAGGCAAAGCCGATAAGTCAGATCCCTTCTATGACCCCCTGTCACAGGTGCTAGCTAAAGTGGCCCCTCGGGATAGAGTCATCTTGTTGGGTGACTTCAATGCCCGAGTTGGTCATGATGCTGGCACCTGGTCTGGAATAATTGGAAGGCATGGGCCCGCCTAATGCAACATCTTCGCCGGTTAGAAACATTTAGGCTGGCCTGCCTACGATCCATCCTGGGTTTAACCAGACTGGATTGTGTGAGGAGCTCACAAATTCTTGAAAGATCTGGACAAAGTCCCATCGGTGAGCTCCTCTGGCAGGCGAGGCTGCGTTGGCTGGGTCATGTAGCCCGCATGCCCAGCCACCGAATGCTGAAACAGCTTTTGTTCGGCCGGATCGAGGGGGCTAAACGGGCGCGGCACGGGCTAAGGCGGTCGGGCGTGGTGCTGGCCACCCACCCCCTCGTGTACCGTCCCGGCCTTCATAGGTGCTCGCTAACAGCACTTGCCCCTACAGTCTGTTAAGGCTATACGGGGGTTCTTTGTGTCTCTGTGCGTACGCGTGTCTCTGTGCGTGCGCGTGTCTCTGTGCGTGCGCGTGTCTCTGTGCGTGCGCGTGTCTCTGTGCGTGCGTGTGTCTCTGTGCATCTCTGTCCGTGTGTCTCTGTGTGGGGAGTGGTGGGTGTAGTGGTTAGCGCTACGCTGCGTGGCGGGGATGCTTGGAGAGAAAGGAAGAGGGGTGTGGTGGGTAGCGAGTACCCGCGACGAGGTGAAGTGTGGAGAGAGAGAAAAAGGAATAAACTGCGGCACTCCTGAACAGAATCTGGTCTCCCTGTGATCCTTGACACCCGGGGACGAAGTCCTGCACTACAGTCGTATATAGTAGTGTATAATGTAGTGTATAATGTAGTGTGTGGTGTATAATGTAGTGTATAAGTGTAGTGTATAGTGGTGCAGTGTATAGTAGTGCATTGTATAGTAGTGTAGTGTATAGTAGTGTAGTGTATAAGTATAGTGTAGTATAGTGTAGTGTATAGTAGTGCAGTGTA